AAAAAATACCTGCAGTAAAGTCAATTTCCTCGCCCGAATCTTGCCTTTAGCTGTGATATCCACACGAATCGGCTCAAACACGAAATCTACATTTTCTACCTTAAAATAAAATAGACTTAGAGAAGGATGATCGTCTTGTATATGGACATGGTGACGTGATCATAGATAAGATTTCGAATAAAACTGTGATGAAGGAGCTAACATGGTAATGAAATGTTCAGACTCACTTGTACTACGTAACTGCCGCTAGGAACGTTGTCAACTACAAAAGAACCATCCTCACGAACGAAGCCTATGTATTCGCCATGGTTCAGAAGCACCCGAGAATTAGCGGCCCACTTACGACCCATCGTAGCTGATGAAGGAAATATGACCTGGAATCTTATGATGTCCTCCTAAAGACTTCTGCTCACATATTATAAAACAAAAATAATACGTGTGAAATAAGCAGAGTAAAAAGAAAGCTTTCATGCTCTATCATTCCGAGGAGTAAATCAAAGTCGGAAAGGGAGCAAAAGCAATCGCAAAATCACTGAAGGGCTTAACTTGAAAAATTAACTACAATAAAAAAATACTTCCCGCAAGTACTAGGCCAGGGGTAAACATAAAAGTAGTCGGTTGAAAGACTTCAAGATAGACTATTGCAGCAAAAAAAAAACTCACATTTCCCTCGACAGGAAAGGTGGTTCGCTCGGTTGTCGTCAATTCCTCGGACGCGAAAGCATTACCAGCACATATGGCGAATAAAACCAATATCCTCATTCTGTGAAACTATAAACTTTTGAAAAATAAGGAGACTTGAAGAAAAGTGAAAATATTGTTACATGGATTCAGCCTCTCAATGCGCACCACATGAAACATAGCATATATTTATAGAAAGCTAGCTGACTTTTAGAATTTAGTGCTCAAAGTAGAATAAACAAAGAAAAGCAAAACAAGAAACCAATACATCATTATCAAAAAAGAATCGAGCAACATACAGGTACACATGTAGCATAGTTGTAAATAAAGCATAGACTTTTGACTGCTGACAAACCGATAAAATCACACACTATTATTGTGAAACTGCGCAAGTTCTATCGAGATTTTTAATATGAGGAGTTTATAAATAGCTTAACTGATATAGTAGCTCGTTTTTCTGAAGTGAGGAGCAATATCAAGGCAAAAGATTGTATAAATTGCATCACCAAAAGCCTATATCGCTACGAGAAGTAGAATACAAGAGGAAACGGTCAAAACGTAGAAAATTCAAGGCAGCGGTAGCCTTTTCGGTCACAAAAATTCTCCATAAATGATATGCTCAGCACAACAAAACATAGTGAGAACAGATTTCCAATTGAGCATTAGGACCTTCCACAGCGACTTGAGCATAGCCAGTGGGCCACATAACACTCAAGACTGTCGAGGAAGTTCCAATACCTAGTTGAAGCGTTTCAGAAATTCTTCGGCTGACACACGAGCCCTTGCATTCAGCGCCAATTTCATGTCGCTGATTTCCTGAAAGTGGTATTTGGGGCCTTTTCGAAGAAGGTTTCGATCAAAAAAATCACAACCAGACTCTTTGATAAGTAATGATCGAACATGCGATACATTCGGATTTGTCTCGATAATGGCTCCCAATGGCAAACAAAGCACATTATTTTCAAAAGGCTCAAGCTCCAAAGGAGAAAATCATTTTCGACTCGGAAAATGATATTTATTACAGAGCTGGTGCTTTCAAAATTACTCGCAATAAAATACTTGTAT